TATATATATATATATATATATATATATATATATACTATATATATATATATGTAAACACATGCCTCTCGTTTATGGGTTTAACTTTGTACATATTGTACGAAAGGTCTAATAATAACTATGTTGAAAGTACTAGTCCTGTCTCTTTGTATAAATCCGTGTTATTACCCGCTTTTTTTCTCGAATAATAATAATAATAAACGTCGAACAATTTTCCTTAAAAACAATATTTTCAGTCCTTACGAGATATACGAGAAAGAAATTAATTTATAAAATTGATCGCACTGTGAATATTATAAATCGGTCATTTTTGTATCGGGAAAATCATTAATTTGTCCGATAATCTCATACACGATTGAAAACATTGTCGAAAAAAAAAAAAATCTAAATATTCGAATGACTTTTTTCTTTTTTCTATATTATTATGTGTTATTTTGACACGAGAGATGAAAAGGGAAAAGAACAAAATTAGCATAAAATGAGAGAGAAAGTTAACTGAATGAAAAAGAATGAATAAAAGAAATTAATTAAATTAAACAAACATTGATTGATGCTCGTTCGCGAAGAATGCAAATGTTAACCCAAAAACGACGGGCAATTGATAAGCAGAAATAATTAAAAAAAAAAAAGCACCGAATGTCGGATTTCGGCGAATGAAAAAGATGAAAACTAAAAAAAAAGAAAATAACAAAAGAAAAAAAAAAGATAAGAAAGAAAGATACTTTTTCAATGAGTGAGTCAAAGTTACCAATTTCTACCTACGTTTATAGAAAGTACGTTTTTATTATTAACGATTATTATTAATTATTAATTATTATTAATTATGATGATGATAATGATTATTATTATTATTATTATAATGATAATATCTCGTTTACCTTCGAGTAATATTCCTTTTGTAACTGAGATTTCGGGCGCCACGTAAAAAACTATTCGTCTTTGCCGGGAACGGAATTGCCGCGTGAATTTGAAATTTTTAGATGCGCGCGCAACTCGCATGTGCGCGCGCACCTAATCACCATGTGATCCAAGTAATTTAAATAAAAATAAAAAAAAAGACTTGAAAATGAAATAAATAAATAAATAAAGAAAGAAAGAAAGAAAGAAAAAGTAAAAGTAAAAGTAAAAATAAAAATAAAACAAAGAGATAGAGAGCGAGATAAAAAAAAAAAAACGAAGTAAATTAAATGATAATATACAGTGATATAAAAATTATGGTGAATCGCTCGCGTACGTACATGATCGTGCATATACATATACATATATATATGTAAGTACGTATGTATTTATGTATGTATGTATGTTATTATATAGGGTACGTACGTAATAAGAAAAAAAACAAACAAAAACAAACCGCGTATTTAAAATAACAAATCTTTACACAACTCGTCGATACTTCTGCTTTCGATGATGAAGCATTAATAAAAAAATTGCTTTCTATTTCGATCGCGTGCCTTAAAGGTAGTAGCCCTTTTCTCTGAAATTTCAATCAGATCACCGAGAGGGTTCTACACTATGTATAGTAAACAAAAAGAAAGAAAGAAAGAAAGAGAGAAAGAGATAAAGAGATAATTCGGTAATAAATAGGAGAAGATAAAATAAAATAATAAATCTGTGTGTGTTTGACGTAAATCCCAACGCGGATTTATTCGTAAACGCGTACGAGACGTTAAACGAAAAAAAAATAAATAAATAATTAAAATAAAATAAAACGGAGAGAAGAAGATAGAGAAAGAAAGAAAGTGTGTGTGAGAGAGAGAGAGAGAGAGAATAAAAAGATCAAATTTCATCTTATTAATCGCTTTTATACACTCTTCATAAATTTCATTCATAATACCGATCGTATTTAACTGACGAACATATCGTAGATACGCGAAATTCTTTAAATAAAATAAAATAATTAACGGCAAGTATTGCAATATAAAAAAAAAATAAATAAATAAATAAACGAGTGCATACAATTCGTCCATCATACACACTGTGCGCGTTTCCAGGATCTCGCGTATATAAATTTTTCTTTTCTCATTTTAACAGATCTAACTAAATCATCTTAGAACATTTCGCGTTTGCATTTTTTTCTTGCATTTCTTCTTAGCGCGTCGGAATCCCTGTTTTTTTTTTGTTGTTTTTTTTTTTAATAAAAAGAAAAAAAAACATCCTTCCCTCATCGATCAAGCCTGACGAATTAAAAAAACGAATCTGATTCGATAATTAAATTAAGAATTAATAAATAAACCGCGAGCTATTGAATTTTTCTTGGACGAAAATCTTTTTATGTACATACATAAATCAATAAAAAGCGAGCGACTATTATTATTATTATTTTTTTACTATTATTAATATTATTAATATATATATATATATATATAGATATATTTAAAAAAAAGAAATATATAATATAATTCATATTATTATTATTATGATTATTATATTATTATTATTATTATTATTATTATTTAACGTTCGTCCGAAAAAAATATTCGAAGGCTATCGGTTCCCGGCAAAACGGACTGAATTTTGCGATAAGCGCGTAAACCCCTGTATTTTTATGAATAAATAAGATATTTTAAAAAAGTGAAACTGAAGTCTGTATGGAGATGCCTTTCATAGGGATTATAAATGTAGATAATATATTATACATAATGAACATAAATACACTATATTATTATATATAAATAGTAAGGAGTAAATAGAACTATATATATATATATACATATATATATATATATATATATATAAATACACATATATATGTATATATATATATATATATGCATATATATACATATGATGAAAATAATATTATTACGAGTAAATAAACTGAATAAAGAATTAAAACTACGTTAAATTACTTTCATGATCCTAAATCATCTACATCCTACCCATCCCAAACTAACTTTACTTATTACAGTGTGAGAACACAATTATTTATATATATATATATATATATATATATATATATA